GGATATAGCTCGCTAGCAGCCTCGCACCGATGACCTAGCCACGTCATCATTTACCCAGAATGCTTTGCGTGTAAATAAAATGGCTCAGTCCGTGTAATATATTTTTAAACTTTTAGTTTAAAAATTATAAAAACTAACCTAACAGTATTTTTACAGTCTTTATTTACAGTTAAAATATATGTTCATTAAAAAAAAGTCCAATGTTACAACTAAACATGGATCCCTTTGATAAAGTGGTTGGTGAATGTATAAAAGCATAAAATGAAACATTAATTAAACAGATCTGTTCCTTTCTCTGTCACATGAAATAAAAAATATATGATGTTATTGACTCCAAAAGGCCTTTTGCATATTTGTGTTAATTTTAAAAGCCATACTGTTTGCAAGAGAAGTGTTTCATTTTGACTGCCGGATCATGACTCTTTTTGTTGTGACTTCTGCTGGGGGGTAACTGGGCGAACGTGGGTCAGCCACATCAGTGTGTGCGTGTTCTGGTTCTGAGAGGTTCTGAGAGGCCGATTGGCTCTCTGTAGGAGTCTGTATGAATCATTTGTCACACRGTTATAAAAACCCCAGGTTCTGTTTTGTCTGCAGTGCAGCTYGATCAGAACCACTGACTTCTGTAAGACCTGTAGCCTGTTATTTTTCTTTATTTGCTTATTTATTTTTCAAATAAACGCCACAAAAGACAATTTGACTTGTTGGTATCTCGAGTCCACCACTTAAACCTGCTGTTTTCCTCGTGTTTCGTCTTTCTTTTTTTTTTTTTATACGATGCAACAGACTAAATGGTCTCTGTCTCTTCCTCAGTGAGCTCGGAGGTGGGCCGTGCAGTCTGGCTCCGCTTCTCGCCGCCGCTGCCCTCCTCGGGACCCCAGCCCAGCTTCATGGCCCACCTGTCGGGGGCCGTGGTGGGCATCAGCATGGGCCTGCTGATCCTTCGCAGCTACGAGGAGAGTCTGCAGAAGCAGTGCTCCTGGTGGGTCATCGTTTTCTCCTTCATCACCTTCCTCCTCTTCGCCATCTTTTGGAACATCTTCGCATACGAGCTTCTTGGGGTGCAGATCCCGCCTCCCCCCTGATGACCCCCTCCAGCCCCTCCCCCCTTTCAGCCATGTTCTCCTTTTACAACCTTTCATTTCCTCCAAAGTTAAACCCAAACGAGATCATTCAGCAACAAAAAGATATCTACCGAGAATCCTTTTTTACAGATACTTTGCAAATCAAAGAAATATGTCTCTTTTATTAAAGAGGGATTACAGTAGCAACAAGTCCAGATGACAGCTCCTCAGACCCGTTTCGAGGAGCGTTCTGTCTTCTTCTACACACTGAAACTCATCCGCATTATTCTTCCAGCGAAGATGTTTCATCACTTGCATCTTTCATTGATGTTACGACCTCAAATTAGAAGATGCTGACTTCATGACACGTGCCTCTGAAACAAAATGATTTATAGCAGCGAAAGGTGAAAGTGTAAGATCAGCTAATTGTATGTCAGAGTTTTGCTYTAAGGCACCAAGTCGGAATCTGTGCCACAAATCAAATCTGCAGGAGYCGGTTTATTTCTGAAGGCAGCAATAAAAATTAACTTAAAAAGAAAAAAAAAGCAACAAGGACATTTTTTTCATCCACATCCCTGCTGTAAGTCACAAGGAGGCGGGGGGGGGGGGTGTTCACTGTGGCTTTTTGCTGGAACGCCAAACTGAAAACACAACTAACTCACAACAAGTGGTGCTCAGCGTGAAAACTGACAAGAAAACGCAGGGTTTATTAATTTCATTTAATGTGAATCACTATTGTTTTAAAAGACAGTGTGGTCATTTTTGAAATGATGTTTTAACAGTGGTTGTTGTTAGTTGATGTATTGTCAGTTTTGACATCAGTCATAGAGCACAGAGTATGGAGAATTGGGCAAAAGTCCTCATCCAGGCTAGGCTAATGGTTAACCAAGCAATTTTAAGTTGTTTATGATTTTTCAGGCATAAACTCTTTTTCTCAAAAACAGCATATTGGTGATAATAATAATAAACTACACTTTACTGGACTTAAGTAGAAATTTTAGTTATCTATACTTGAGTAATTATTTTTTCAGCTTTTTGCTTCTACTCCTTACGTTTTCACACAATTATCTGTACTTTCTATTTCTTCCATTTTAAAAGAAGATCAGGATAGAGGGAATTTTACTGTGGCTGGATGAGAAGTATAAATATGTACAGTTCTGACACCCTATGGGTTTGTACGATCCATCCCAGCTGCACGTGACACAAATCACATCACATTCCAGCAGAACGTATCAGAGGTACGCAGTGGCAGATTCTAACCACTCACTTTTACTCAGTGCTGTTACTTTGAGTACTAAAGTACATTTTATATCAAAAAAATTGCTTTTGACATTTTAGTACAGTAAATGTCAGGTCTTTTAAGACTTTTACCCAAGTAATATTCTTAGACAGGACCTCAACTTTTACCATAGTAATTTTATGGTAAAGTACTTGTACTTTTACTCGAGTATCATTTTGAGGTACTTTTATACAACACTAATTATTGCAAAAAAATGTAATAATTATAACTAGATAAAAGTATGGTTATTCCATCTGTTTGTATTGTTAATACGCCCATGTTTAACAGAGCTATTAGCAAAGTTTGTATAAGTAAACCAGTAATATCTGGGGTCACAAGTTTCTGCAACTGTTATTTTATGGCCCGGAATAGTTTTGGACATAGCCCACTAAAAGAAGTTTTTATTTATACAACCACCCCCACACCCACCCACACACACACACACTACACACACCACCACCACCACCAAAATAATGTGCACTCTCATTCTGAACATATAGTTTTAGTCAAAATACCATAGCTTTAAAGTAATTTTACATTATTTTATCTGGCAACCCTGGTTACTACAGAACTCCCGTGTGCTGCCCATCCTGCATGAAGACTTTTGCCCTTTTCTCCACATTCTGTGCTCCATGGCTGATGTCACAGCTGATATCAAACTAACTATTGATAACTAAATGACAGAGCATCACTTCAGAAACGATCGGACTATCCCTTTTATCGCCAAGACTTGGGACATCATCTGTCATTTTCAAGTCATCTAAAGGACATGAGTATTTCGGCATCATTTTGTTGTCATGACACCTACACTGTGGATACAAAAAAAAAAGTTCACACACTCAAAAAAATTAATAAATAAATAAATAAATAAACACAATATTGGAAAATGAAAGTGACTTTGTGACAGAAGAGGATCCAGATGAATACCTCCTGTTGTTGCGCAGACTGGACGCTTGGCGCTCGATGTAAAATATTCCATGTCATACTCTGTGGTTTTCAGCGAGACAAGGACACACACACACACACGCACACACACGCACACATACACACACTTCTTTTTGTCACGGACCAACACACCTCCGCCTGTCCTCGCTCTGACAAACCGAACTGGAGAAAGGTGTAAACGTGTCACCACCCGACCTCTGACCTGTGAGCCCCCGGGAGGCGTTGGGGCTCTGCGAGTCAAGTCAATACCTCAGTTTCTCATTCTTAGGGACTGTATACATTTGTAAAGGAATGTAACTATAAAGAAAAAAAAGTATTATTCTGTTGTCCCCGTTTTTCTTTTGACAGTGGATGTTGTATATTGTATGTTCATAATCGAGACTATATTTATTATTATTTGTCATTTTTTTCCCCCTTTTTGAAGAGGGGGAAAGAAACAAATCAAAATTTCAAATGGTGCAAAATTATTAGTGTGATTGTCCTGATAAATCCTTGTCTGGCTTTGATCCTCTTAAAAAAATGAGGCAAATTCCACCCGGTTTGTTAGGCAACCACCACCAAGACATCAGTGCTTTACATAATAAGCCATAGAAAGGACTAAAGGAAGAGGGAGAAAAGATGGGTTGTTGGTTTAAAATCCGCTGACTTGTAGCTTCAGCTGAACTGATTATTTTGTATAAATGTATGAACAGAAAGGACTTTTTTTGTGAAAAGAATTCAAACATGTCTATGAAAATCCCTGGACTGATGGAGATGTTCTCATGTAGCCAAACCCCATTTTTTTAAAACTTCTTGTTTAAACAGTAGCAGAACCTTGAACATGTCCACACCTCATTTCCTGCAACGCCCCTTCCTAAAATTTTGGGGGGGGTCATCTGTTATATGTCATCTCTGCAGCAATTTGAGCATTTAGGGATACTGAAAACGAGGATAGCAGCTACATTTACTCAATATGTTTCCTTTTTTTTCAGCCTTTCAATCAATAATTCATTTAAGTGTCTAACGCTGCCTAAGGTTTTATTTTTTTGGTGTAATTTTCTGGCCAGTTTTTGACGGTCGGCAGCACTCAGCGTTTTGCTTCCACGTGAAGCTGCCAGTAGTGACAGAAGACTTCATGTCAGATGAAGAGAATGAGTATAACAAGCCATTTCCAGACCCATTTAAAGAAGAAAAGATCTGACGACGTGTGGTCGTCGTCTGTACTTGTTGAAAACTGGTGCACATCAGGAAATATTACATTATTGCTTCAGATAGTAAAGATCAGACAATGAATAATGCAAACATAGCCTGTTAGCCTGTAATGAAGATAAAAGAGGATGCCTGAGAGAGGTTAATGTGCCTCTTTAACTTAAGATTCATAGAAACCCGCAGGAGTTTAGGGAGAAAAAAAGGGCTAGTAGACGGATGCTTTTGTAGATCATATTAGCTGTGGAGTTAACCCCTCCGGCTCCTGGAAGTACATTCAAGACCCGAATCAAAGGTCTTTGGATTGTGTTTGACCCTGAAATGGGCACTGAAAAGATATTCCAGAAGTATAAATGAGCAACCAGGTGGAGACGTTGTTTTTGGGAACCGTTTTTTTACTTTTCCGTGAGCCAAATCTCCTGGTTCTGAGCCAATCAAATGTGAGTCGACTCCTCTGCTGCTCCTCTGACTGACACGCGACTTGCTTTTTGTGTTTGTTGGTGACGGACAGGATAACACCAAAATCACACCCTGAATAAAAATTCATGGTTGTAATTTGTTTTCCCTCGTCCARTTGCCACACCTCCAGTGTCAGGATGATGACTGGCTGTTGTGAGGAAACACCAGGATCTAAAAGTAGATTACAGCTGAATATTTGTTTCTTTAAAAAAAAGAGATAGTGCTTGAAAAAGTATCCATACCACTTTTCTACATTTTGTCACGTTTCAACCACAAAAAGKGATCGTGGGCTGACTCACAGAGAAATGAGTTTAGATGGATGGCCATGTTACAATTTTTAGATGAGGGGGTGGCCTGGTGGTGCAGTTAGTAAAGCACACTGTTAGCACACAGTTTTCTCCAGGTGCACCAGTGTCATCCCACAGACCAAAAACCTGCATTTTATGTTTTACTGGTAACTTTGAATTGTCCCTAGAGTCGTGGTATGGTTGTTCATCTCCAGGTGGCTCTGTGATGGACATGCAGTGACCACTTGTCAGAGACTCACCTCCCCACAGAAAATGAAAAGTGGGTAAAAGTGGATGTTTGTTCAAAGCCTGGGGTATTTTTTGACAGCCAGACCCTGTTTTAAACTTCATCCCTGACAAATCTGCGGTCTTCCTTGGCCTTCATGATGCTGTTTGCTCACTAATGAGGGCATTAGTTGCACTGGAGTTTGGGGTAGCAGAGTAAAAGGGAGTGAAAAGAAATGCTCGCCACACTTTCCAGAGGTTTTATTTATATAAAAAAAATTAAAAATAAAAGTCTGCAAACTACAGTTTTTCCTGGTAAGAGGCCCAGAGGAAGACCCAGGACTCACTGCGGGGATTATGTATCCTCTCTGGCCTGGGAACCCCTCAGAGTTCCCCAGGACAAATTGGAAAGTGTCACTGGGGAAAGGGATGTCTGGGTCCGTTACCTCCACAACCCGGATAGCGGTAGAAGATGGCTGGATGTATCTTTTTTTCCAACTTCACCATTCTGGACTACTTTGTGTTGGTCTACATAAAATCCAAGAACCACACTTTGAATTTTGTGGTTGTATTGTGACAAAATGTGGAAAAGTTCACGAGGTGCGAGTACTGTTTCAAGGCACTTGATCTAAGCAGATTTGTCCAACTCCTTGTTTTTTTTTAAACCCTTGCCAACGTGAGTCCTCACAAAACGTGTAATTAATCGACATCAACAAAAAGTCATTCTTTGACATTTTTATTTCATCTCTATATGTCGAGTCATTGTTCCGTTACATCAAACGCCTTGTTCTATAAAAAGCCCAAGCAGAGGCAAAGGCCACTTTGTTGTTGCTTGCTGTGTGGAACCTTTTCTACGATTGTGTACAGAATCTGTGAGACAGAAGTCGTAATGCCAACATCTGTAGCCACTCTGAGCTGCTGTGTGCCAACAAGCCCCGCCAGGTTGCCTTTTCTCTGTGTTTAGCTCTTAGACGTGTTCTCTCTCGTTACAGGACTGTGCAGGTAAAAGCAGGCCACTGTAGCTCCTTTAAAAAAATGAGTTCATAATCTGATTTAGGGGTTCTTAACGGGGACCAGAAGTGCTGAAATTCACCCTCATTTCCCACATTTTGTTTGGACGGAGACATCAAAATGTACAACAGGGTCAGGATTAAAATGTGTCCGCTTTTGGAAGCTGAGTGAAGCGAGGAGTTTATCGTTATTTTTCCCAGTTTCTGGCTTTGCTTCAGATACCCCAACTCCCAGAAAAATAACAAAAAATGAGCGCCTTTCCGTCACGCAGAAACGTCGCAGGTGGTTTCTCGAAAGGAGTCGTTTTAAGAGATTAAAAAAAAAGTCATATCTGTGCTGCTGTGGTAGTTTTTCACAAGCTGCTTTCTTTGTATCGATAAAAATGGTGCCAAGCTAACACGGTTCAACCTCTGACCAGAGAAGAGGTTGAGCCAACAGCGTTTACAAAAAATAAAAATAAAAAATAAAAGGGCAAAAGAAGCTATTTTCTTTTTCCTCTCTGGGTCAGACTAAAGGAAAACTAAATTTACATATGGATAATTTATATCAAAGTCCTCATGAATTACTTCACAAACTATTGTACTTTTTAAATGTTCTGAATGAAACCATTTTATATTGTATATATATGAATATATTTTGTTTTATTTTGTACTGTTCATTGTACTTTGCTTTAATCTAGAAATGATATAAATAAAGAATAATACTGTGGCCACATCCTGCTTGCAAAGTTTTTGTCGCTGGTTTTCAGAGGATGATGCTTTTGAGTGTGTATGTGTGCATGTGTTAGCAAAATATCTCAAGAACCACTGAAAACATTTTAATGAAAGTTGTGGAAAATAATTATTTACTTTTTTATATAAACTTTATTTTTTTAAAAATTCTTTAGAAAGTTGAATGCTTTTATACAGTTCTGAGCTTCTTTGCTGGTCTCTGGTCTGGTTCAGGGTCTGAGGTCTCCTTTGAGCTGCTGCCCTTCACCTCAGCATCCTTTAGAAGTGGGAGCTGCTGCCGCCCGGCTGTGGTCATCGCCCACAAACACAGCTCCACCCTGTGGGGGGTCCAGTCCTGCTGCGGGTCCACTGKGGCAAGGCGAAGCAGCACAAGTTCAGTTTGTTCTCAGCATCAAAAACAGTTTCAAAGAAATTTGCGTTTTTCTAATAATAAAAAGGACTAAATTGATGGTACAGCCTTGGGCCTTCACCTCACCTGTGTTTAGTTTGGCAGACTGCGCAGCCACCTTGTTCAGGTACAAAGCGTAGTGTTTGGCTGTGTACTGGATGGGCCTCAGCCCTGGTACGCTTTCCATAGCCTCGTCAGACATGAACGCAGTCAGATGTGGAGCTCCAGCTGCCAACACAGCTGGAACAGAAAGGAGAGTCAGCAGCAAACCAAACTGTCGTGAAGAGAATACCAACGACTCAGAGCAGGGAGCTCCAAAGACCCTCAGTCTGCCTTTGTGAGCAGGATTCTTTGTGAGCAGGATTCTGTGAACCTATTGAAAATCAATCACCCAGTCCTTTCAGAGAATCCCACAAACAGGTGAATTATTGAGTTTCTATCTTTTTTTTTTTGTAATAGCAGGTTTGCTCCAGTTATAGTTAGATACAAAAGATGAAGTTGTGAGCCAACCTGAGGCGGTGGCTGGACCGACTCCTTTTAAGGAGCTGAGCTCTGCGATCGCTGCCTGCACGTCGGGCAGGAGGCTGAACGCCTTCCTGGAGCATTTTTTGACCACGTCTTCACCGTTGGAAGCCACCAGCTGCTGCAGCCTCGGCCTGAACTTCCCTCTCTTCACACAGACAAACAGACGATGAGACAGAATCTTTTGTACGAGACATTTGAAGAAAACACAGCTGAAGAAGACGAAGAGCTTTAAAAGTTTTATTTATAATGCGTCCTTACTGTCAGTTTCCACTCCATCAGTTTCACCAGCTCTGACTGAGTGACGTGTTTGTCGGGACGACTTGAAATCAGCGAGGGCAGATCCTCCTGGTACCTGATCACAAACACACAGAGTTTACGGTCATGTAAGGGGTTGAATAACAAGTAAATACAATTAGTGGAAAATGCTTAATTTCTGTGGAAACTTTAGTGTGAAACACTGTTTCTTCAAGGGTAAAATTAGGAATAATTACCACTTTTCAAGCTCTAAGAGCTTCCGGGATTTCTTGCTTTTGGCCTGGGCCTCCACTACATCCCAGTATTTTTCATACACACTCCTCCACGTGGCTGGTTCCTCACAGGCAAACAGAGCACTCATGGCCCACAGGTCACACAATCAACTTGATTTTGAAAAAAGAAAAGAAATATGTAAGCTTATATAAAATGAACAATACATATGCAGTTTTTTTCTGAAAAAAACTACCTCAACTTCATTTAGTGATAACCAAGTTAGTTTGAACAGTTCCTAAAACATAGAGGGTATAATTAAAATATAACCTCACATCTGGGGTGTGCAGACTCTGACTACAAAAATACTAACAAACTACAGSAGATTTTAAGTGCATTAAAGACAGTGGAAAAAGAAGAGTATCAATGGAAAAGGTTCATAGACATTCATGAGTAGCTAAATACATTTTATGCTTTTTTTCTAATATCAAACAAAAGATAAAATGGTTTTATTCTGAAACTTTAATGTTTGTTATGATCCTTTTGAATATTTTTTAATATTCTAAATACATATCTGTGACCTCACACATACTTATTAAATAACTATAAATAGAAAAGTGAAGATCTGTTTAGGAGCCATAAAACCACCATCCTTAGCTGAACTCGCGGGACCAGAGCTGGAGGTGGAATCTCGCGAGATTATAGTAAAATACTACTTCCGGTGCTGTAAATTAGTTAGCAACATCTTTAGAACATTCGGTTTGTCCCTGGAAGTAATGTCATTTCCTAAGTATAGTATTTACCTTAACTTAAACTGGTATACTTTTAAATACGTCTCCGCATTTATATAATTGTTTGATAAAGAAAAGGTTTTTTTTCCTCGTGCGTTTTGCTCTCCGTAAAGTTCCTCCTGTTGTGGGTTAGCTAGCTAACGTCAACGTCACATCGCGGTTGTGTTTATGGTGGGAGTGCACCGACTTGTAGCCAAAACTCACCAACTGATCGAAAAGCGGTGAGAAGCTGAGTGTTGTTTCTCAACAGATTTTTTACATTGAAATGAAACTTCAGCAGCGCGGTGAGTCGCGAGAACTACGTTAGAAAGAGGAGGGTTAAAATGACCAGAGAGCCTGGTTCCTGCACATGTTGTTCCCTCATGGGTGAGTAGATCTTTCACGTGAGCACCAAGTGACCAATAATCGATCATGTGATTAGAAAACATCAAACGCGGGGGAAGCGCGATACATTGTTTAACTTAAAACTTGCTACTTGATTTAAACCATAAATAGTAATCCCCACTTTGTTTGACGTCATTAGCTAATCATATAGTAACCGGTTGCTTTATTATTTTTTATTCTATTATTTTAAAAAGGCAACCAAACATTTTTGCAACAATGATTTGATGTCTAAGATTACATTATTTTATAAAGTAAATAAATGATGCTACTTTTACTTAAAGCTTATATACAAAACCACTGAAATAGTGTGTATATATACAGAAAGAAACGATACAAAACATTAAAAAAAAAATTTGCATCAGAGATAGTAGACTAAACTTGTTTGTTTTTGATCGTTTGGTTTGACCCAGACCTTACAAGTCTGTATGTGCAGAAGCCATTTATTTGTATTGTTAAAGTGTGATGTGCATTTCTAAGAAATATAGTATAAAACACATTATTTTACTTATTTTTCACATTACTGGATTATTTTTGTTTTGAACTTGATGCATCTGGAAATGACATCAAGGACAAACTTCCTGATCATGTATGGGCTGAAAACATGAAACTTATATCTATTATAGTGAAACTGTACTGCTGGTGGTTGCACTGTTGCAGCAGTACTCCAATAACAGTGCAAAAGGTGATTATTTTTCAACTGGTCATAAAACTTTGATCAGGAGTGTGTGTTATTAATGTGATTGTTTTCTCAGTGCAGTTTTTGAACATATATTTAAGCTAAAAACATTTTTCTGATCAGTCAAAACCCTATTTAACAGTTCTTGAATTCACATGGGAGACTATTTTCTTCATAACAGTAGAAAACACCAAATATTTCACTCTGATCAAATGGTACAGTCGAGCATATTTCACGTTGTCTTTGGTGTGAGACCATGAAGCTTTAGTAACAGAGTCTAAATCCTGTAGGAATTTGTCCACGGTTTCCTCTAGCTGTTTCTGACCGAGGAAAAATAAGTAGAAATGATTGGGTCTGTTTAATATTTTCATCCTGTTGTCACAGGAGTAAATATCATTGCAGTTAATAATTTTCTACAACTGGAATTCATTTTGTTTACACGATCCCTCAAAATGGCAGCACCAGGCAAGCAATACATAATCATATGACCATGTGATGTGACTGTAAACAGGTTTGCTATCCATTATGATTGGTAGATAGTTGCTATTCTGGAACTGACAGAATTTGTCAGAATAGTTAGTTTTGTCTCTTTTTAAGGTTTTAACCAGTAACTTGTAAAGAGTAGTTGGTTATAACTTTATGTACTCACATTACAGCTTCAGCTTAAGTTCGGTGCAGCAGAAGCTCTGCATGTTTGTTACATGACCGTCATACTCACAGGTTAGCCCTCATGGTAGCAGATGAAGAGGACGCCGTGCAGCTGAAGAGATTGATGAGGCAGTCAGTTCTTCACCAAGTGAGTGCTACAGCTTTTATATTTACTAAAAACATTTTATTTATATTGTTAAGTGGAATATTTTTTACAGTTACAGTTGGCCTCTCCCACCAGACAAAGTTTTGTCTAATTTTGTTTCTTCTTTGAGTGCCACCTTCTGGTGCAATAATAATTTTTGACACATTTTAGAGTATTGCTGTTAAAAAATATGTATTGCAAGTCATTCAGTGTTTTTTTTTTAACTTCAATTCTCCATTAGGAACATGGAGAAAATGTCCCGGGTTACCACAGCCCTCGGCAGCAGCGCCATCAGTGGCCGAACCATGTTCTGCCACCTGGACGCTCCAGCCAACGCCATCAGCGTGTGCCGAGACGCCACGCAGGTGGTCGTCGCCGGACGCAACATCTTCAAGATCTATGGGCTGGAGGAGGAGCAGTTTGTGGAGAAGCTGAACCTACGCGTTGGCCGCAAACCCTCCCTGAACTTTAGCTGCGCCGACGTCATGTGGCACCAGATGGAGGAGAACCTGCTGGCCACGGCCGCCACGAACGGAGCGGTGGTCACGTGGAACCTGGGGAAGCCTTCGCGCAACAAGCAGGACCAGCTGTTCACGGAGCACAAACGCACCGTGAATAAGGTGTGCTTCCACCCGACGGAGGTTTACATGCTGCTGAGTGGCTCACAGGATGGCTTCATGAAGTGCTTCGACCTGCGCAAGAAGGAGTCTGTCAGCACTTTCTCAGGTAGTTGGACGTGTTTGAAATGAGATACAGATTGCAAAACAACACATTTAACCAGTTTTTTCACTCTTTAAAATGTTGTTCTGATGATTTTGTTTTGCATCTAAGGTCAGTCAGAGAGTGTGAGAGACGTTCAGTTCAGCATGAAGGATTATTTCACGTTTGCTGCATCTTTTGAAAATGGTAACGTCCAGCTGTGGGACATTAGACGACCAGATCGGTTTGAGAGGATGTTCACTGCTCATACCGGACCTGTGTTCTGCTGCGACTGGCATCCAGATGACAGGTTAAAAAAAACAAAAAAATAATCAGATTTTGCTCTGTGTGTTTGTTGCTTTTCACTTTAATAACTTTAGTTCAGGTTTATTATAGCCGTCACTTTTCCTCCTTGTGACTGTTTCAGGGGCTGGCTGGCCACAGGAGGTAGAGACAAGATGGTGAAGGTTTGGGACATGACCACAAACCGAGCCAAGGAGATCTACTGCGTCCAGACGATCGCGTCGGTCGCTCGGGTAAAATGGCGTCCAGAGAAGAAGTTTCACTTGGCCACCTGCTCCATGATGGTGGACCACAACATCTACGTGTGGGACATCCGCCGGCCTTTTATTCCCTTTGCCACTTTTGAGGAACACAAAGATGTTACAACCGGTATTGTCTGGCGCCACCAGCATGACCCTCAGTTTCTGCTCTCTGGCTCTAAGGACAGCACGCTCTACCAGCACATGTTTGAAGACGCCACACGTCCCGTGGACATGGCCAATCCTGAGGGTCTGTGCTTTGGACTGATGGGTGACTTGGCCTTCGCAGTGAATGATAGTCTGATCAGTAGTGACGCTAACAGGAAGCCTTATCCCGGAGGCGACCGTCGCTACCCGTTTTTTTCCTTTAAGAGGCCCAACCTGACAGAACAGTTCGCCCACGTGTCCAGTGCGCTTAGTGTCTTCGAGACAGACTTGGACAGTAACCGCATGGACTGGTTTGTTAAGACGGCACAACTCTACATCCTTAGTGGGAAGCCGTTTGCTGAGCTGTGTGATCACAATGCCAAAGTGGCTCGGGAGCTCAAAAGACCTCAGGTAAAACAAATCGAGTGTTTTCTTAAATAGGCTTATTTTTTCTGCCATTTTTTAGCCCAATGATCCTGTCATTATTATTTCAAATCATTTGGTCCAAAAAATAGGTAAAGATCAAGCAATTTGTCACATTTGTACCAAATGTCTTCTTTCTGAAAACCAACAATCCAAAACCCAGAGATATTTTATTTACTGGGAAAAGCACAACAATTATATTAGAATACAGATTTCATTGCTATGATGGAATTTTTTCTTTTTTTTTTTAATTACGAGAATAAAGTCATAATATTCTAGCCTTTACATAAAAAAGCATGCAGTTATCACTGCATTAAAATGAGGAATGTTGAGCAACTTGTCAAGTTCTTCTTTAGTATTGCTTAATAATAAATAGTTAATCTTTTAGCACATTAGCATCAAATTAGTAGCAGAACCTGGAAATTGTGCAAACGACTATAAACTGAAGCTGCACTGTAATTAATGGATGCTTTGACAGATTGAGTCATCACGTAGCTAATTTGGATGAAACCATATTAATCTAACAGTGACCCAAGTCATCATGGACTACTTTATAAACACACACACACGGCTGTACACAGCAGGTGTGGGGGAAATAAGGAGGAAATGAGGAACGGAAAATAGACACTTCATGTAATATTATGACTTTCATCTCGTAATATTATGACTTTTTTTCTCGTAAAATTACGACTTTAATCTCGTAATAATAATTTAAAAAATCTTGTTGTGTGGCCTTAATACTCTGTTGTACATTGCAGCAATAGTTCCTCCAACAAATCACTGACAATCATATTGAAGAAAACTCATATTTGCTTTGAACTTTACAATAACTTTACAGTCTGTGGTGACTTCATGCTAACTTGGTAAATGCAAGCCCACATCATCAGTTGAAATACTAGGCAGTCAACCTCTTTATTCCTCCCTAGATTTAACAGTCATACAAACTTTCTGTCATTTTTATTGAACACATTCAGAACCATTAGCTGACTTAAAATGACACATTTTTGATGTGATTTTGTCACCTTTTTCTTTAGAGAAAGCAGTGTAACTCATGCTTGTACAATTTCACACATGAATAATTGAACTGTTTATTAAAGGTTTCCACTACGTGGACCATGCTGAGAATAATGTTCTCTGACCCAGCGAACATGGCTGCACCAGCCTCCAACCTCAACCTCAGTAAGCTCGGCTCCTTGCCTTTAATGAACAGGTAAACAAGTGAGCCTTCACAAAACAAACAGCTCCTGTCGTTAGAAGCCAAATGGGAGTGACTGAGTGTTTTTTTTTCTCAGTTTCAGCATGAAGGAAATGGGTTCGGGGATGGGTGCAGAGAGCAGACTGGAGCGCAGTAAAGGTGAAAACAGGCAGGATAACATCCACCTGGAACCTGGGAACTCACTCATAAGCAATAATAATGAAGGTGAGAGTGTCTGATTCAGTCTTAAAGACCGGTCGAAGTCACTCTTCTTGTTTTCACTAATCGTGTTTGTTTCATTTTAGAAAACGAGGAGACGGAGGGCAGCGACGGCCCTGTGGAGAACATGTTTGCTGATGTGGAGTTGGATGACGATGACCTCTACTCTATGGAGCAAGACAACCAAGCTGGTCAGTCTCATCATCATCAGAGGAACTAGCTCTTTGTCTTCATCAGTACATCTTCAGCCTGCTTCTGTATTTAACAGAGGAGCAGGAGTACACGTTACCCCAGGAGGCGTTTCAGCTGCGTCACGAGATCATGGATAATCCATCAGCGCCGGAGCATCTTCAGCAGGACAAGGCTGACTCGCCGCACGTCAGCGGCAGCGAGGCGGAAGTCACCTGCCTGACGCCCATCGAGTCGTTCTCTCTCATCTCCATCTCCCAGCCGCTGTTCAGCCCACACCTGCCCGCCAGCTTCTTCTGCCCCATCGTGAGGGAGATGCTGAGCTACTACGCCGTGCAGGGCGACGTGCAGATGGCCGTGTCCATGCTCATCGTCATGGGGGAAAGGATTCGCAAGGAGATCGACGACCTCACCCAGGTTAGAAAAGAAGCAGACATCCGTAAACCAGGAATGTGCAGCCTGGTGGGTTAGTGGTTAGCTCTGTTGCCTCACAGCAAGAAGGTCCTGGTTTCACGCTCCAGGTTGGGCCTGAAGAAAACCCTCCTGGAGACCTGTTCCGGTGGGCTTTCTCTGGTTTCATCCCACAGTCCAAAAACAAAACAATGGGCCTCATGCAAGAACATGTTCGTATTCTTATCCTAATTTTTTCTTACTTTTGTTCGTATGAAGGGTTCGTACGAACATGTCACGTCAGATTCAACAAACTCTTCTGTCTTCAGGAAAAGTGTGTAAATGAGCTGCGTAAACTGATGAATGTGTATCAGCTGCTCGTGCACGAGGAGAGGTGATTAGCATAATTACCACCCCAAAAACACCATATAAGTCTATGTTTCCTGCTCCACATACCAGGAAGTGTCCATTCATAAATTACATCGCAAAGTAAAAAAGAACTTTACGAGTTCTGAGGTTGAAGCCCTGCTCTCAGAGATCCAGAAAAAAAATGTCATTTTTAGCAGCGTCAGACCTGCTAAAGCCGATGAATGAAATGACGACTGCTGTTAACGTCGTGTCTCCTGTGGGTCGTATACAGACACGGAAATAAAAATCTAAATCACAATCACTCTCTAGTCCTGCTCCGGTTTTTCTTTGGTCAAATATTTTTGATTTAAAACAACTTTGTTACATAGTTTTCATTTATTCAGAAGAAGAGCAGACGCGCACCGTTACCCCCTCCTGACTGTCTCAAGTGTCGCATTTTAAAATGTCTCCAAACTTCAATTAATGCATAATTGAAGACGGTTTTTAGTTTGAAATCTTCATATTAATATTGTAGTGATATACAACAGCATTAATAGCCAATTTAATTTAATCTAACCAATTTATGTCATTAGTTACATTTAAAATCTAATTCCAATTCAAACAGAATAACCTATTGTCAACATAATTATGGAGTGTGATTTATTTTCAACTCAAAATATCTTCAAACTAATGAAATATAAAGTTATTAATGGAAGAAAATCCATCTGGAAAACAGCAGACTGCTCGTAAAATATACAACAGGTCTGGACCACTCATGAATTTTGTTTGTATTGGGAAAAAAAAAATCTTAAGTGTACGAGAAAATTGGTGAATGCCACAAATTCTCCTAAATCACTCGTACGCACAACTTAAGAGCAAATCTGTTCGTACGAACAGTTCTTGCATGAGGCCCAAGGTGTAGGCTGCCTTCAGGTCCAGGTCTCCCTTGAAGAAGAATGGATAAATAAAATCTGTTGTGAAAACTTTCCTTTAAATTTTTGACTTTAAGCCATTTAATAATGTGGAAATTGTGATTTATATGTACCAAAATGTTAATATACAGTATTTTAGTAAAGAGAAGTCTTAAAAGAAATCTGTTCCACTGATTTTGAACTAAAATGTTGAGTTACCATTAATGCGCTCTTTATGATTTTGTTTTTATATTTTACTAATATAAAGTCCAACAAAGTTTTGGGTTTTTCCCATCAGGAGCACTGGTACATGTCCTACATAGACCTGCTGCAGAGATTCGAGCTTTGGAACGTGTCCAATGAGGTGATCAAGCTGAGTACGTGCAACGCCATCACCTGCCTCAACCAGACGTCCACAACTCTGCACATCAATTGCAGCAACTGCAAGCGACCAATGAGCAACAAGGGCTGGATCTGTGACAGGTATGGACTCGTCTGTTTAATGTTTCCTGTAAGCCTTAAAATCTGACGTACAATAGACGGAGTATACAGGTGCTGGGCATAAAATTAGAGTATCATGAAAAGGTTGATTTTAGTTCAGTAATTCCTTTTAAAAAGTGAAACTTGTGTATTATATTCATTGATTACACACAGACTGATATATTTCAAATGTTTATTTCTTTTCATTTTGATGATTATAACTGATAACTAATGAAAACACCAAATTTAGTATCTCAGAAAATTTGAATATTACTTGAGACCAATTCAAAAACAGGATTTTTAGAAATGTTGGCCACCTGAAAAGTATGTACATGAACAGTATGAGCATGTACATGTACTCAGTACTTAGTTGGGGCTCATTTTGCCTGGATTCCTGCAGCAATGCGGCGTGGCATGGAGTCGATCAGTCTGTGGAACTGCTCAGGTGTTCTGAGAGCCCAGGTTGCTCTGATAGTGGCCTTCAGCTCTTCTGAATTGTTGGGTCTGGTGTATCTCAGAGTTTGTTGGCCAATTAAGAACAAGGATACCTGTTCTTAAACTGGGTACTGGTAGCTTTGGCACTGTGTGCAGGTGCCAAGTCCTGTTGGAAAATGAAATCTGCATCTCCAAAAAGTTGGTCAGCAGCAGGAAGCATGAAGTGCTCTAAAACTTCCTGGTATGTGGCTGCGTTGACCCTGGACCTCAGAAAACACAATGGACCAACACCAGCAAATGACATGGACCCAAACCATCACTGACTGTGGAAACTTTACACTGGACCTCAAGAAAACATGGATTCTGTGCCTCTCCTCTCTTCCTCCAGACTCTGGGACCTTGATTTCCAAAAGAACCTAACTTTGGACCACTCAGCAGCAGTCCAGTCCTTTTTGTCTTTAACCCAGGACTTCTGASGCKGTCTCTTGTTCAACAGTGGCTTGACACAAGGACTGTGACAGCTGAAACCCATGTCTTCATACGTCTGTGTGTGGTGCTTCTTGAAGCTCTGACTCCAGCTGCAGTCCACTCTTTGATCTCCTCCACATTGGTGGATGGGTTTTGTTTCACAATCCTCTCCAGGGTGCGGTTATCTCTCTTGCTTGTACACTTTTTTTCCTAACACATCTTTTCCTTCCCTTCACCTCTCTATTAATGTTCTTGGACACAGAGCTCTGTGAACAGCCAGCCTCTTTAGCGATGACCTTTTGTGTCTTGCCCTCCTTGTGCAAGGTGTCAATGGTCATCTTTTGGACAACTGTCAAGTCAGCAGTCTTCTCCATGATTGTGTAGCCTACAGAACTAGACTGAGACCCAGTTCCAATGTTCAATGTACACCCTACGCCCCTCTGTGTAGTGTGGATTCAGTCCAAGTGCACATAAGTGTTCGAGTGTGCAGGTTACAAGCGTGCAAAACAATTGAGAATTGGGACAGTACGGATTACGTCAAACACCAGTTACTACCGGTCGCTGTTAGGCCAAATTTCATAAACATAAAAGCAAATGTTTAAAGAAAGAAACAAATTTTATCTCCTTCATGATTGAGTGTACACATTATATGCAATCTATTCACTTCTCTACTAATCAGAAGGCAAAAAAATTACAATGTCTTGTTCACTTTGTCGTGATTGGTTCTTTTTTGTGGTGTAATCATTTTATTTAATGTTTATTATTATTATTATTACATATATTTATACATTTTTTTCCTTTTTTTCATTTATAGTTCTTCATTCCCCCTGGCAGCATTGTTATTTTTTGTACCATGTTCAAATGTTCAATAAAGGTTTATAAAAAAAAAAAAGATGTCACTGTTTTGGCAGTAATGAATTGTGAGTAATACACTTCACCGAAGTCTGTAAAAATGCAGAGTTTGCGGAAGGGCAGAAATACTACCTAAAATGGGCGGGGCAAAGGGCGGATGTGGAGAAGGTGGGACACACTACACGCTCAAACCCGTCAACATGAACGCACATAACGAGGGTGGGAGTGTGGGTGTTGGGACAGGGCCTGAGAGACCATTTAAAGGCCTTTGCAGGAGTTTTGAGTTAATTAGCTGATTAGATTGTGGCACCAGGTGTCTTAATATTGAACTTTTTCATATTTTAATTTTGAGATACTGAATTTGAGGTTATTAGTTTTCGGTTATAATCATCAAAATTAAAATATAAATTTGAAATCTATCAGTCTGTGTGCAATGAATGAATATAATACGCAAGTTTCACTTTATGAATGGAATTACTAAAATAAATCCACTTTTTCATGATATTCTAATTTTATGACCAGCACCTGTATATTTAATTTTGCCATAAAACAAGCTCACAAATATGATTCCTTCCTTCAGGTGCCGCCAGTGTGCCAGTGTTTGTGCGGTGTGCCACCATGTGGTGAAGGGGCTGTTTGTGTGGTGTCAGGGCTGCAGCCACGGAGGACATTTAGAGCACATAATGAACTGGCTGAAGAGCAGCGCTCACTGCCCTGCTGGCTGCGGTCACCTGTGCGAGTACACGTGAGCGCCTTCCTGCTCTCCTCTGGAGCGTCGACACGTCGTCTCCATCCTGAAGTGAGTCTGAAGATTAAAGAGGTTTTAAGTGTTCTCCTGGACAACAATTTAAGAACAAACTCAATGACAAGGTAATTTATTTGCATTTGATTTGGTCTCTGATTTCACAGTAATGTAGGTTAAATTATAACAGCAGCTGAAAGTAAATCCAAATTTGCTGAATTTTATAGGTTTTTTACCCCTCTGTAAAATTCTGAAAGCTGTACACAAGCAATGTTTGTACATGACTTGTTTTGAAGTACTGTAGATATTAAAACCCATTTATGACACTGAGTGTTAAATATTTATCTCTTGAATCTTGTCTCAAAAACTGAAATGAGCTCACTCGTGTATACTGGACACAGATTATTCAGGGGCTGACACAGTTTGCAGTGGTCTGAACTGAARAAGTGTGCAGACGTTTGTTCTAGCTCTGCCTTCATCTGTATAACGTGCATCAACTTCTCATATTTACAGTTGCATGTTTTATGTTGTTTCAAAAATAAGRAGAATAACAGCAAAAATTAATTTTGAGTTTTAATTCATTTTCACTTAAAAAATTAAATCATTGAGGAGGATTTCTGGGCATTAAGAGGACTGTGCTTTAAGAAACTCTAAAATCCTCATCTTAAAAAATCGTTTTTATGATCATTTATTTTTAGATACACAGATTTTAAACTAATAAATTTTACTAAGCAGAACGTATTTTGTCTCCATCTTCAGCTCAACATGAGTGCGTTAAAAAACGAGGACACAGTTAAACACCCTCTGATCCTTCTGCACTCCCTCCTGTTTTTCTGTGCTGTTATACAACTCAACCACAGAAGTCCAGCCCAAGGGGGTCGGGGGTCGTGAGCCCCCCCACCCCTCTCTGCAGCAGCTGCGTTGCCCTCATTGGACGAGCTCCGGTCCATCTGCCAATCACGGGCGAGCAACGGGTCCGCGCCGCTTCGCTCCAGCAGGGTTGGCCTCGTCTTCGGCCTTCTCCCAACTCATTGAGATTTGTCCAGGGTGGTGACATCACCCTCCGTCAAACACGAGGAAAATCCGCTGCAGAGGAGAGAAAAAAAAAAACTGAGTTTAATTTACGAAAGGCAAACAGGTGTTGAGACAAATGACGGGCGTCACCTGAGACACTAAGGTCGTTCCCAGCTGTCTGAAACTTTCTCAGGGGCACTCAGGCGCCTCAGACTCTGAAGGATGGTCTGCAGAGTCTCTGCTGTGGTGACAGAGCGATCAGCTTTAATGTTTAATCATCAAATATCCAAACATCCCTCTTTACGTACCCATCTCCTCCTGGTAAGAATTCAGCTTCTTCATCAGATCTACGACAGAGGAATGTTTCAGCTCATCTGCAGCTATGAGAGAATGATAAACGTCTTTAAAAAAGAAAAGTTTCTCTATCATTTTTAAATCAATTATCCAGGAAGGTGTCGACGCACTTTTATCACCAGGATCAGGTTTTTCTCTCTCTTCCGGACCAGAACTCACTTCCCCCTCTGTGGTGAGATGAGAGAACAGTTCTTCCTGACACGCCCTCGCCTTCGTCAGGCTGCTGCTCGCATCCTGAGCCAGCCGGTGGTCTTCCACCAGCTCAGCRTGGACCCTCTTCCACGCCATCTTGTCCTCCATCAGGCATCCCTCCATCACCGTCCGCAGCTCCTTCTCCTGAGACACCTGGCTCTGCAGGCTCTCCATCTCCTCGCAGCGCTGCAGAGTCAGAGAAATGTCATTTAAAATAAAATAAAAAGCTTTTCGGTTCAGCTTTTGGTTAATATTTTCTTCACAGATACCTTGTGGAGTTGGATCGCCATCTCTTGCATCTCAGCCTCCAGCTGGTCCGCGTAAGCCTGTTCCAGAGCGTCGCAGGGCGGTCGAGCGTTGCTGTGCCACCGAGCGATCGCTGAAGTCATCTTGCGTTTGGGTCCAAACAGTCTGGAGGACAAGGAGGAATTCAGCTCYACATCAAATTAAAAACACGCCCCAGGAGTCCTGGTAGGAATTAAATACGAGGCCATAAGGATCCGTTCTCAGTTTAATTTGTTCGTGCGTTTAGGAACAGACATTCTGTTTAAGAGCCAGCAGTGGTTTGACTTCAGCGACACGAAGTTTCAGACAGATGTTTTTTTTTTCTTATTCCAGCTTCACCTAAACAAGCCATCAAACCTGTAAAACTACAAACATCACCTCTTTTCATCTGCAGGCAAGTTTTATTCATGTAAAATAAAAATCTGGGCCCGTATTTATCAAACTTCTTAAGAGTTTTAAACTTAAGTGTTGAAAATTTCTTAGATTTGCTCCTAAGTGTAAGTGCCAGTTATCAAAATCCTTAAATCTAAGAATCACTGACTCTCCCGAAAAGTTCAGACTGCTCCAGAGGACTCTAAAGTGGTTAAGAGTTGCCACTAGGGGTCTGAGATGGACTGAAGACGGAGAACAAAACTGTCCTCCTCCCCAGTTATAAAGGTGGAAAACAGGTTTCATCAGAAATGCAGAAGAAAGAAAAGTAAAAAAAAAAAAAAACTGTGCATAGTGTTGGACTAAAAGGCAGATATTTGTGTGGCTTTTGGAGAAAATATCAAATATACTAAGTGCATGCGATTTTGTCTSTATTCATGATGCAAATGAGGACATTTTATGTAATTTACAGACAATCAGAACAAGGTGACATTAGTGTGTTGAAAGTGAACTTATCTTAGGATTTTCACAGTCTTATATTGACATTTCTCCGACAATATTCTTGAACATGGAATCTGAGGCAGTGATTGGTTCATGCCAGGGTTTTTTCTAACGACATCCAGGATCAGCTTTGCGGCACAGCCAGGTGTCGCAAATCAGCTCTAAGACTGACAYTTAAGAATCACTCCTACACTTAGCTTAAAGTAAGACTGAGACGCTTGATAATTGACATTTACTATCAGCTTTTAAGAATTTTTTTTACACTTAAGTCCACTCTTAGCAGCATTCTTACGAGTAATTCTAATAAATACAGGCCCTGATTCATAAACATCTGATGTGATCTAGGTGAAAACAATTTTATTGATGTTATTAAATATGACAGCCTGATTTTAAAATTGTAGATGCTAAACCTTTGTCACACTTAAAAACACACCTGCTGTTCAACTGTGCGTATGGTTTACTGAGTAGAACTGATTCTTACGACCTCAAATTTTAATTAAAAAAGACCAAACGTCTCACGTGATTCCTATTTCTTTCAGATCGTTCTCGGTCAGGGTGAGAAATATCCGCAGGTCGATGTCTTGTTCCTCTAGTAGCTGGAGGTATTTGGAGAAGCCGATTTGCTCCAAGAATTCTGCCAGATCCTGCCACAGAA